GCCCCCCCCCCCTGCCCGTGCCCCAGCGGGAAGGGGGGCTGCCACCAGCCCCTGCTGCAGCCGGTGGTGGAGGGGGCTGGACTGCAGGGCCTGCCCTAGGATTGGGGCTAGGGTAGGTTGGGAGCTGGGCCCTGATTGGGCAGGGTGTCTGTTCAGGGAGGAGAGAACAGCAGCAGGTTGGGGACAAGGTGTCTGTCCAGAGGAGAGGGGGCAGGAGCATGCTGGCAGTGTGGGGTTTCTGCCACCAGCCCCTGCTGCAGCCGGTGGTGGAGGGGGCTGGACTGCAGGGCCTGCCCTAGGATTGGGGCTAGGGTAGGTTGGGAGCTGGGCCCTGATTGGGCAGGGTGTCTGTTCAGGGAGGAGAGAACAGCAGCAGGTTGGGGACAAGGTGTCTGTCCAGAGGAGAGGGGGCAGGAGCATGCTGGCAGTGTGGGGTTTCTGTGGAAGGGGTGAGTGAAGGGCTGGTGGTGTGGGGTCTTGGTGGGCCAAGCCACAGCCACCCTGTCCCCAGCTCTTCCTTCTCCTCCCTACCAGCACTGCCAGGAAGGGCCCGTCCCGTTTCCCCACCACCAGGCAGGGTTGGGCCACATGTCAGAGCCAGCCGCAGCTTATCTCGCAATCCCAGCTCTGCACCTGCCACCACGGTGCACAAGCCCTGGTCTCTTGGCCCATCCCTGCCCCCAGCTGTCAGGGACAGGAGGGCTGGGCCAGGGCTGTAGACAGCCCCAGTTCTCCATGGGAAGGGCCAGGCTGGGAGTGGGTGGGATTTGGCTCCTGTGGATGCAGAGTGACATGATGACATCATTCTGTTGTTCCACAGGAATTTTTTTTTATAGAGAGAGAGAAATAACTCCCTCCCATAAAGGAATAAAAAATAGGATTTGCATGTCTGAATTCTAGCATAACATGCTAAAAATGTACCCTATAAAATAAATCTTATCATATACTGTAAATTCATTTTGAAAAATGACTCTTAACTTTGACATGTAGACATACCCTATGTCGAAATAACAGCCGTTATTTCAAAATAACTTTACTAGCGACTACACAGCCAAACCGCTATTTCGAAATTAATTCGAAATAGCAGAGCACTTATTTCGAAATTGGTAGACCTCATTCCACAAGGAATAATGCCAAATTCGAAATAGCTAGCTCGAAATAAGTGCTGTGTAGACACTTATATCGAAATAGGGGGACTCCAGTCTCCCCAGGGTGCCCTGGTGGCCACTCCAGCCTCAGTCAAGAACACTCCTCTCCCTCCCCCCCATCCCTGGAGCCCTTAAAGGGGTTGACTTTGGCCACAGTGCCTGTGCCAGCTCCAAGCCTGCCAGCCCTGATCCAGCAGTCACTGCCCCTGACCCAGTGATCCCAAAACATGAGCCAGCAAGCAGTTGGCAGCCAGTCCTCCACCGCTCCCCAGGAGCAGTCTGCCAGCTCCCAGGAGCCTGCCAGGGCCCTGAAATGGCGGGCGCCTTCCTGGTCCAGGGTGGAGATCATAGACCTTATTCAGGTTGGGGGGATGCCCCCAACGTCTATGATCTCCTCACTAGACGGAGGATAGCTGCCAGCCTGGCCACCAAAGGCCACATGCAAACCTAGGAGGAGGTTCGCATGAAAATCAAGGTGGTCTAGCGAGGTCCTGAGGCCTGAGCTTTCCCTCCCCCCTCTTCCCCTTGCTTCCCCCTTCCAGCTCCCTCCTCCCAGGTTTCCCTCTCGCATGATATTCTTATTGATAAACTAGGCAAATATAACTTAGATAGGGCCACGATAAGGTGGGTGCATAATTGGCTGGATAACCGTAGTCAGAGAGTTGTTGTTAACGGTTCTAAATCCTGCTGGAAAGGGATAACAAGTGGAGTTCCTCAAGGGTCTGTTCTGGGACCCGTACTGTTCAATATCTTCATCAATGATGTAGATATTGGGATAGAGAGTACGCTTATTAAGTTTGCAGATGATACCAAACTGGGTGGGGTTGCGACTTCTTTGGAGGATAGGGACATAATTCAAAATGACCTTAGCAAGTTAGAGAAATGGTCAGAGGTAAACAGGATGAGGTTTAATAAAGAGAAATGCAAAGTGCTCCACTTAGGAAGGAACAATCAGTTCCATACATACAAGATGGGAAGCGACTGTCTAGGAAGGAGCATGGCAGAAAGGGATCTAGGGGTCATAGTGGACCGCAAGTTGAATATGAGTCAACAGTGTGATGCTGTTGCAAAAAAAGCAAATATGATTCTAGGTTGTATCAACAGGTGTGTTGTAAGCAAAACTCGTGAAGTCATTCTGCCGCTCTACTCTGCACTAGTTAGGCCTCAGCTGGAGTACTGTGTCCAGTTCTGGGCACCACATTTCAAGAAAGATGTGGAGAAATTGGAAAGGGTACAGAGAAGAGTGACAAGAATGATTAAAGGTCTAGAGAACATGACCTATGAAGCCAGGCTTCATGAACTGGGCTTGTTTAGTTTGGAAAAAAGAAGATTAAGGGGGGACATGATAGCGGTTTTCAAATATCTAAAAGGGTGTCACAAGGAGGAAGGAGAAAATTTGTTCCTCTTGGTTTCTGAGGACAGGACAAGGAGTAATGGGCTTAAGTGCAGCAGGGGAGGTTTAGATTGGACATTAGGAAAAAATTCCTAACTGTCAGGGTGGTCAAATATTGGAATAAATTGCCAAGGGAGGTGGTGGAATCTCCCTCTCTGGAGATATTTAAGAACAGGTTAGATAGACATCTGTCAGGGATGGTGTAGGTGGAGCTTGGTCCTGCCTTGAGGGTGGGGGGCTGGACTCGATGACCTCTTGAGGTCCCTTCCAGTCCTATTATTCTATGATTCTATGATTTTCCCATCCTCTCTGTTCCCCTCCTTTCCCCAGTCTCACCGAAGTTTCATTCCCCTCCTGCCCCAGTTTTGTTAAATAAAGAGAGTTTGTGTTCATGAAAATACGTGTATTTTATTTGACATCAGGAAGGGGGGTTAGGGAGGGGTAAGTGGAAGGACATGAGGGAGGAATGAGGCACAGGCCCCCAGTGGGGAAGACCAGGGAGGCTCTTAGTGCTCCTCAGGGTGGAAGCTCTCCCGCAGGGCCTCCTGGATACTGACAGCCTCCCGATGGACCTCCCGGATGGCAGCCTGCATAAAGTGCAGCCAGGCTCACAGCAACGCATCCACGAGAAGTACCAGAGTGCCCAGGGGCAGCTCTGGCTCCATGTTGCAAAGTGCTGTGGTGTCCCGAGTGAGGGCCA